TATTATTATTATTATTATTATTATTATTATTATTATTATTATTATAGTTCTATTATTAGGGAGCCGAAAAATTTAGAAACTAATGTGAAAAAATTATCTTTAGGTGGCAATGGATGGCAGCTGGGAAATGTAGTCTGCGACGTTCTGTAATATCACTAGTTTATTTTATTTTACAAATCACACTACTGGTGCTATAATTGGGGCAGACGTTCTCGTATCCTCTGTAACAGAAGTGTAGAACCGAATTTATCTTGAAAAATTGTGTTTCCAAATAATTCCGATTTTTTCAAATAATTCCAATTGGCAACGCTCCTATTCATCCGATTTGCATGACTGACACTGTGTTGGATTCAGGAAGCTTGTTAATGTTTTCTCGGAACTTCGAGCACCAATTTCAAAGTCGCGTTTTTGCTAGTTTATTAGAAAAAAGGTTTCGTAGCGTAAATTATATTGTAAAAGGACATAAAATACCGTTTACATATCGAAAATAGGACCATTGGTTCAGACTATCGGTAAAGTGGTGATCGGTGAACTGTTGAATTTTCGAAGTATTTTTCGCTACATTTAGCCATAATCCCAAGTTGAAGGTAAATTTGCAATGTTTTACAAAACTGTTTTAATTTAAATGTAATTTTAATGCAAAAATGTTTAAATTTAAAAAAGCAACACGTCAAATTGTTGCAACTAAAAATGGACACATTAACCGGCACATTGAGTCTATATAAAATAACAGATTTTAATTTAGATATATGTAATACTTTTACCATCTGCAGAATTGTATCTGAGGAAGCGATACGTAGTACTTTTGACAAAAACATTTTAATGGAAACGCAATATATGTGCGATTTGACGTGATGTGTTTTGTGTTTCTGAGTTAAATAATCCAATGATTGTCTCTAATTAAAAGATAAGTACGAATAATAAATAAAAAATACATTATTTATTGCTGCTATTACATGTATTATTTACAATACGTTGTTTTATAAATTATTCGGCATGCCATCAATTTGAATTAGTATTTTGCATTTTATGAATAAAGTAAAGTTTATTTACTTTATTTAATAAAATTTTACTTATTTTATAAAAAACTGACTAATAACTTTCTTTGCCCAAAGAACTGATTGCAATATGTTTTTCCCGTGGGCGTACAATTTCTGAAAATGATGTCGTCCTCGAGCTCGACCTGCTGAAGTTAAGATGTTCCCGAAGAATTCCGTTGACCACCAGTAATATTCTAACTTTCTTTCTTGAATGTTGAAGTATGTTCAAGTCAATGTCCTAAATCTAATATTAAACAGTTTACACTGTTCACATAAAAAGTTATTCGCGAATGCCTCAGGTGGACATCAATTTATTTATTGGTTTATTTATTTACGTTAAAAACGGTCAGAAACTGCGTGTGACGTGCTTTGGGGAAAAGTTAAATTGAAGTTACATTTATGTCCAGAAGCAAAACAAGGGGCCATCTCAACATTTGCTCAAGCATCAGGGAAACTGGACGAAAACTTGATCGAGATGGGGATCATTGATCTAGAAGCTGAAGTACAATACTTGTTACAAGTTCTTTAGAATTATACAATCCAAATGGTAAATAATACACTAAATGTCGTTGCTAAAATTAATATTACTTTCGAATTTAATCGTTTAATGTCATCTGGCAAGGTGTTGTAAATTAATGTACATGTATTGTGTGTTAATTTTTTGTTGTGAGCTGTTGATATTGTCACCTGATGAATATGATTACTACGCCGAGTGTTGTAGTTATATATACCAGCGTTTGTGAAAATATATTCCCGCCCTTAAGTAAAAACCACTTATTCGTATATCAAGAGACAAGGCAATGGTAAGATACCTAGATTAATAAAGAGAGACATATAAGAATCATGAGGGTGGGATTTGTTAATTATTCGTACAATTATTTTTTGTAATCTAAAAGCCTGGGAGCTATAAGATGTATTTTCCCAAAATATTATGCCATGTCTCAGGCGGGAATGAACATTCGCGAAATAAACACAAAGAG